GCAGAATATACAATTTGTATATTAATCTACCAACGTTTCGTTACAAGACTTTGACAGAAGGCCATTTTCCCTAAGGAGCCCTTTGTCTATAACTTTCCTTGTTGAAACTATTAATCTTTAATATAAATAATTTTTAAATAAAATTTGTTGTTCGGGAAGTAAAAGCAAAAGAAGTGGTTATTTTTTGGGAGTTCTGCAACACTACACGAGGTGCCCCCGTCAAAATTCGCAAAAACATCGTTAGCAAATTTATTTCAAAGGGAAATTTTCTGCATTGTAAGAACTTAGTCGTTTCCTTTTTTATTATTTTTACAGTATATCTCATCGTAATATAAATATGAGTTAATGTTGTCCCCTGTAAGCATTAATACATCTGTTGTGGTACTTGAGGATTTATAAGCCGTAGTAAATTGTAGGTTCGTTTTTAGAACGGTCACCGCTGACGTTTTTATTTATTTGATTCGCGTGAAAAATTACAGAATTTGTGTATTACGAATGTGTGACGCCGATTATTAGACTGTGAATAGTTTAAATATAAACTCCGTTGGACGAAGTATATCCTTTCGTACGTACATATAAAGTAAATCCTTTACAACGTATTGCCGTGAATTATTATTCCCAAATTATTGGTTTGTCAGGCAAAAATACAAGAAGTCTTTCAACTTATAAAGTGTCGAATTTTCAGGGGATTTACTAATCCTGGGAACATCAGAATAAATTTCTATTTGTCGTGGAAGAAATTGTGAATATAACAATGTATTATCATCGGGATTTGTTAAAATATAGGAAAAATATGGAAAAGTATTAGCATTGTCTAATATATCTAAACAGTACTGTATGAAAAAAAATAAAAGTAAAACAAAAGTACTGGTATGCAAGGAAAGAAAACGTAAGGAAAGAGCAAATATAAAGATATGAGATGAAAAATTAAAAGAAGTGGCTGATTTTAGGTATCTAGAAAGTCAAATAAGTGAGGACCAGGGGCGCAACACGTTAAAATTTGACTGGGTGCTCAATAAATGACAAAAAAAAACAAAAGGTCATCAATGCATTGCATTCGAAAAGTCAAGTTCAGCTGTTCTCATCATCATAATACTATAAATGGACTAAACAAAAAGGTCATTTCGACGAGATTGAACTGTTTGAACGGAACTTTCAAGTTGGGTTATTATCTGTATCGACTGGTATTGACTGGGTGCCCGGGCACCCGTGGGCCCCCCTTGTTGCATCCCTGGTCAGGAGTGAAGGAGTAGTAGGGATATAATAAACTAGAAGATAGCGCAGGGTCGTATCGCCTTCAATAAAAAGAAGTCACTTCTATGCCCGCGAACGGTTAATTAAGAAATTCGAAAAAGGTGTATGTTTAGAGCGCGGCGCTGTACGGGTGCGAAACATAGACGTTGGGTGCGGCGGAAAAGAGAAAGTTGGAAGCATTCGAAATGTGGTGTTATAGACGAATGATGAGAAGGATACCGTGGATAGAGAAGGTTAGAAATGAAGAAGTATTAGAAAGAATAGGAAAACAGAGGACTCAATGGAAATTAATAAGAAATAGGCGAGATAGATTAATTGGACATCTTCTCAGGCTTGAAGATCTAGTCAGAAACATATTAGAGGTAGAGACGGGAGTTAGGAGGAGTAGAGGTAGATCTAGATTAGATTACTGTTCTCAAATAATTAAGGATGTGGGTTGTTCTACTTTTACGGAAATGCGAAGATTAGCTCAGGATAGGAAAGAGTGGAGGTGCGTGTCCGGCCAGTCTCAGAACTGACGACCTTTTGATGATGAATATATCTACCTTTTTCCTCTTAAAAATGCAATTTAATTTTGATAACAGGAAGGTTACAGATAGTTTTGAAATAAAATGGAAGCGGTATTGAGAAAAACAGTAACATGAAAATAAATATGAGAAAAATCATTTAGATCTACGATAAAGAAATTGGGGGACACAATGTATGTTGCAGGTTACTTGCAGCCTTGTACTCAAACTCTAGAGCTTAAAAGCTTTTATTTGCATTTTGCATTAATTTTTATTAAAAAATGTTTCCTAAAATTACCGAAGATTTCATCTCCATTCATCCAGTTAGAGTTTCATGTAACTTTCTTCATTTATAATTATATATTATGCATAGAAAATGTACGCCCATTATGAATGAGATTAACTGGTGTGTGAAATCGTGCTATTTTTAACTAAAGTTTCCTATTTTTGAGAAGATTCCGTTGTATCCATGATCTTTATAGGTATCGTGCGAAGTTGCTTTGTTCCATTCAAACATTTGTTTAACGATATAGTAAAAGTTTGCTTACATATTAAAAGAATTTTTTAACGGAAAGAAGAGGACGACCATGTAGCTTTTATATGCACTGAGAATTTTTAATTTGAATACATGAGAAAATAATTCTGTACGCTGTAATGGTGTTAGCTAAGTAAGTACACGTGTTTTACAGTCGGTGTGAATTTTCGATAGAATCTTTTCTACGCGCTCCAATTCTCTTGTAACTCTTGTAATTGAATTGTTGGTAAAGTCAATAAACAGATCTCACTTTTGTACAATCTTTTTATAGAACGATGAGAAAATAATCTCGGAAATCCTTAGCCAGTCAGAAAACGAAAGTATTAATAAGGTTTTCTAAGCGGTGGTAGTTTTAAATTACCGGATTTATAAAATAATTCGAAGTGGTCTGTATTCTGTCGAAACTGCCAGACGTGGATCGCGATTTCGTTCTTTTTGGATCTCATCAGCGCGTCGCAGACAGCTCCGACAGAACACAGACCAACTTTTACCTGCTGTCTTAACAGCGCGTTTTAGAAAATACCACAAATGGCGCGGTAAACGCCATCTGTAGTACGAT